CTGATCCTGAAACATACAATTCCCCACTAATGGAATCAACTGTGCAAAGAGCTACCTGAGAAGGAGGAAAGGACATGACAGTGGAGGAGAGAATAGCTTTTCCTGTTATACAAGTAGCTGACCCATATTTCCCAAACCAAATAATTAGACAGCATGACAGATTTGACTTTAAAATGATAAAGGCCTTGCAGGAGAGGCCTACAGCTCCATTTACAGGAAAAATTATCACTAACATTTCTGAAGCATTCCTACCTCCTTGTGATTGGTACTCTCTGGCTCATGCAGCCCTGGGTGGAGGAGATTACTTGCAATGGAAGGGAGAATTTTTAGAGAGACGTGAAGAACAGGCTCATGCTAGTTGCGGGCAGAATGTTCAAATAACTTTTGAAATGTTATCAGGACAAGGACAATACAGTGACTTGAAGAATCAGCTACAGCATATGCAACAAGCTTATGAGAATATTAGGCTTTGTGGAAGAAGAGCCTGGTGGGCTTTGCCAGCAAAAGAAGATCCTGGGGATCTTTTAGTAAGTGTACTCAGGGACCAGAGAATCATTTTCTGATTTTGTGACTCGCCTCACTCAAACAGTGAGATGACAAATACAGCATGAAACAGCAGGAGACATTTTAATTCAGTAATAACCTTATGAAAATGCCAATGCGATTGTAAGAAATGCCTGACACCTCTAAGAAGAAATAGTACCATGACAGAAATTACTGCAGCATGTCAGGATGTGAGAGCAGGAATTTTTCAAGCAAACTTAGTAGCTGCCGCTGTAACAGTGGGGAATAAAATATGTTTTAATTGTGGACAGACAGGACATTTCTAAAAATGAATGTAGGCAACCAAAAAGGACTCAGGGCGGTGCCCAAGGGAAAGGCATGAGCATTCTGCCTCCTGATTCAAACAACGCAGATCCGACCTCTTTATGTCCTAGAAGTCAAAAAGGAAATCATGGGGCCAGTCAATACAGATCTCAATTTTATAGAAATGGGAAGCCATTAAATGGAGACATAGGGAATGGCCAGCCGCAGGGAAAGGCCAGAGGGGCTTTCCCCAGCCCTGTCAACAACAGGGGATTTATGCCCTGCAAAGCCCACAGTGGATTCCTTCATCTGAGCCACTCCAGGGAGCACAGGCCTAGATCTCAACAGCACAGTAGCCATCACTCTGACTCCCCTTAAGACTCCGCAAGCTGTCCCTGCAGGAATTTGAGGGCCTGTGCCTCTGGGAACATTAGGATTAGTTTTAGGAAGAAGTGGAATCACTCTGAAAGGACTAACGGTTTTGCCTGGAATCATAGATTCAGACTATGAGGGAGAAATCAAGGTAACACTAGAATGCAAACATATAATGCAAATTACTCTAGGACAAAGAATTGCTCAGCTCCCACTTCTACCTTATATTCAGCAGGGTGAAGCAATAAATAAGAAAAGAGGAACATAGGGATTTGGAAGCTCAGATATCTATTGGATACAGGAAATTAGCAAAACCCATCTTATGATCAATTTAAGAATAGAGGGAAAACTGTTTAAGGGTTTAGTAGACACTGGATCAGATGTTAGTGTTATTAGTAAAGAATTCTGCCTCCAACTTGGTCCATGGTAGAAGCTATGGGCTCTATTACGGGAGGTGGAGTTCCTGATAATACGCAACGTAGTGCTGCAGTGTTAAAGTGGCAAGATGAGGAAGGACAGACAAGATGGTTTTAGTCCTACATAGTCTCTGGAATTGCAATCAACTTATGGGACTGGGATATTTTAGAAGGTTTACAAGCTTGTGTTATTACCAGCAAGGGACAGCAGTTAATAACTCAGATGGGATATCAAGCTGGTCAAGGCTTAGGAAAAAATAATCAGGGAATTAAAGAACCCATTCAGGCCAAAGGAAACCCAGGAAGATGAGGATTAGGATATCAGCCTTTTTAGGAATGGTCACTGCTCAGTCTCCTCGCCCCCATGCTGATCCTCCACAATAGAAAGATGATAGACTTATATGGATGGATCAGTGGCCATTAACCTAAGAGAAATTAGGTCATGTTCATGAATTAATATAGGGACAAGTAGCCTTCCAATAGTCCTTGGAATAGGCCCATATTTACAATAACTAATAAGGTGACAGGAGAGTGGCGATTGTTGCATGATCTTGGAGTGGTTAATGACACTATGCATACTATGGGAGCTTTACAGCCTGGACTCCCAGCGCCTTCACAAATTTCTCTAGATTGGTCTCTTGTAGTAGTAGATCTTAAGGATTGTTTTTCACCATTGCCTTGGTACCTCAAGATAAACAGAGATTTGCCTTTTCAGTGCAATCTATTAATAATATAGAGCCTATGAAAATATATCAATGGAAAAATTTGCCTTAAGGAATGGCCAATAGCCCACCTTATGTCAAAAATATGTAGCTCAAGCTATTCAGCTTTAAGGGACAAATATTCCCAATATTATATTATCCATTACATGGATGATTTGCTCTTAGCGAGTCCACAGGAAGAGCAGACTTTAGCAATATTTTCCCAATTAGAAAAGGAACTCTCTAAATGGGGCTTAAGGATTGCTCCAGAAAAGGTACAGAAAGAAATGCTTTTCAAATATCTAGAAACCATAATGAAAATCAATGTATTAGTTCTCAAAAGGTGAAAATATGAAAAGATTGCCTTAAAACCTTAAATGACTTTCAAAAATTATTAGGGGTCATTAACTGGTTAAGACCTTATCTGAAAATCTTTAGGGGAGAAATGACAAATTTATTTAATATACTTAGGGGTGACTCTAATCTTTCCTCACCTGGAACAATAACAGATGAAGCTAGGAAAGAGTTACAAATGATAAGAGTTCTTTCTTTTTCAATGCTGCATAGCATTCTGTGGTGTAGCTGTACCATGGTTTTTTTATCCAATCGTCTGCAGAAGGGCACTTAGGCTATTTCCAAACATTAGCTGTTGTAAATTGCACTTCTATGAGCATAGGGGTGCATACATTCTTGCTGATGAGTGTTTTGGGTTTCTTAGGATATATTCCTAGAAGTGGGATCACTGGGTCAAATAGGAGTTCCATTTTTAATTTTTAGATGGAACTCCATATTGTTTATCATGATGGCTGCACCAGTCTGCATTGCTAATGGACCAAATAAACTGATGAACAAAAATAGACCCAGAGACATAGAAGCATGAACAGACCATGGAACCTCACAGGGAAGGCAGGGGAGGGTGCATGGGAAGCAATCAACCAATGAACTTGTCTACATATATGCCTAACTCGTGGACACAGACAATGGGGTAGTGAGGGCATAGATAGGGGACAGGAGCTAACTGGATGTGGTTTGGGGGGGGGAGGGAGAAGGAAGGCTTATGTAATACTTTTAACAATAAAGACTTTTAAAAAGAGAGAGAGGGGGAAAATCTTGTTAACTATCCTGGCACCCAGTCCCCGCCTTGCTCTCTCCCATCTCCATGTCACTCCTCACCTTCCCTCCTTAACTTCAAATGCATAAACACAGCTGCAAATGGTTATTCTATGGAGCATTTGAGGTCTTTCTCCCCAATAGTTGTCAACAATTTGGCTGGAGTAGAATCTTATAAACATGCTTTTCATGTTTGGACATTTCTTACAACAACATGTCTTTTCTTCATTTACCACATACGTTCATACACGTTTCTTCCCCATGTGGAGAGGGAGGTGCACACAATTATTATAAACCTGCTGCCTCCACATGATGATGGTGGTGACTCTAAAGAGTTTCCACCCTTTGGTGTGGGGATGACGTTCCAACTACTGAGCCCACCAGCCAGGCTCCATGTGAAAATGATAGAAATTATCCCAGTTTGAGAGGCTGGAAAACAGACTTTTGCACATGAACAGCAGGGAAGTTGAGTGAAATGTGTGCTTTCAGGAGGCAGCTGCATGCTGTGACAGGTACAGCAGATTAGAGACAAAGGGTGTGGCCACAGCGTCCAGCCCAGCCTCTCCTGCCTCGTCACATGTAGAGGTTCGAGTTCTGTGAAAGATCTGATTAAGGAAACAACAAAGAGAATCTTTCTGCCACAAAATAAAAGCATCATTCAATGCAAATTCTTATTCCCAAATCCCAGAAAGGCAACATGGTCCACGGAGGGTAAAGGAGAGTGAGAGGAAGCCCCATCCATGTGCCTCTGGGGGAGCACCCCTGGATCCTCATCAAAGCCACAAGGAAGGAGGACTCTCAATCCTGGAAGGCTGCCCCCAAAGAAAAGGGATGAGGTGCTGGAGGCAAAGATCAACAGTAGTTAGCATAGAAGGCTATGGACTTTGATATTCAGTAGGGCTAAAAATCAGCATAATATTGCCCTGCTGTTGGCCAAAAGGCTCAAGGCAATCCCTAACCTGATAATCCTTTTACTATTTACCAAACTTTACTGTTGATTTGCCTGTTTGCATTCTTAAAGGGAAAATGTGTATTCAAGTGAATAAAAGGAAGACAGGACTGAGGTTTGGGGGTTTTTCCTGCTAGAGGGAAGTTTCCACCTGTCTCCCCCATGATTTCTAAATTAAGTTTTCATGTCTAGTGCTTCCTTTGTGTGTTGGCCCCATCTTCAGATCTTGAACCCTAGCCTTGCTGGTCGCGGTTTCACAATCAGAGTCACTGGGTCTGAGGAAAGAAGGGAAGAGAGGTGGGTCAGCATCCCGAGTCTTTTCCATCTGGGGTCACCACTAGAATGACAAGGTCAGACATGCAGCCCAGGGTCCCAGATGCACCTTATATGCAGACTCCATGCAAATGGGGCTCTCCTCCTGCTCATAAAAGGGGGCCCTTGCCCGGCATGTTGGGGAGACACCCAGAACCCAAGCGCCTGAGATAGGACCTGAGCAGCTCCACCATGGACTTGGTGCCAAGCTGCCTTTTCCTCCTGATCATTTCTCAAGGTCGTTCTCAGGAGTGGGGAGCGCTGAGACCTGTGCCTGTGCCTGTTGGTGCTTCCATGTGATTCTCAGTCCACCTTGTGTCTCTGTGTTTGCAGGTGTCCAGTGTGAGGTGCAGCTGGTGGAGTCTGGGGGAGCCTTGGTGCAGCCTGGGGGGTCTCTGAGACTCTCCTGTGCTGCGTCTGGATTCACCTTCAGTAGCTATGGGATGCATTGGGTGCGCCAGGCTCCAGGGAAGGGGCTGGTGTGGGTCTCACGCATTGGTAGTGATGGTAGTAGTTACATACACTACGCCAATTCTGTGAAGGGCCGTTTCACCATCTCCAGAGACAATGCCAAGAACACGCTGTATCTGCAAATGAGCAGCCTGAGATCCGAGGACACCGCTGTGTATTACTGTGTGAGATACACTTTGAGGGGAAATCAGTGTGAGCCCAGACACAAACCTCCCTGCACCAGAAGTTGTGACCATCAGGGGGTGCTCCGGACACCAGGGACTGCTCAGGACCCACAGCACAGAGAGCAGCCCCAGGAGCAGGGGAAGAGGGAGGTGGGAGGGAAGGGCCTTCCTGTTGGGCACAGGGATTTCCTCTCAAGCTCTCAGCTGCCTCCAGGGAAGGCTCTTCCTTCTCAAGTTCTTCCTGAAGACAACAGTGAAGAAGGGACATGTGTTTGCAGGTGACATGTCAGCAGGGAGTGGTGACTCTCCCTCACCAAGTCGCTGTATTTTCTTTCTCTTTCTCTAAAAGGAGACCATCCTTAGTGCTCTCATCATCCTGGGTTTGGGAAACGTTCCCACCAAGAGAGATGTCAGCACAGCCTAGGCCCCTGTGTGCTGACCTCAGGCCCCTATCTCCACGTTTCCCTCTCACAGGCCCACCTGGGCCACCAAGACAAAGATCACCCCCAGAACCTCCCACCACAGCTCTCCATCCTTCCTACTACACGCTTCCCTCCTGGTCCTCATTCACTCGGGTGGATGTGCAAACCCACCCAACATCTGGCTTCAATGATCACAAAACCTTTGATTTGATTTGCTTTGTTTCCTCTGAAGGGGACCCTTGTGGCTATAGGTATGTTCCAGGAGAAGTCTCAGGGTAAAACCCACGTCAGCACCCTTAGATCCCTTGTCTCCACCTTAACCATCCACAAAGTCCTGTCATATAAGGACACCCACAGGCCCATCGATGACAAACTAGATATTCCTGAGGTCAGGGTCCAGCCATTAAAGTCCCCTGAGAGTCAGGGCCTCCAGGGACCCTCAGGAACCTGAGTATGGGTTTCCTTCCTGGGAGCTGGGAGTTGTGTCTGTGAGATTGTGAGTGTGCATGTGTGTGTGCACATGGTAATCTGTTTGGGATTCAGCCATGACACCTGTCTCTCTGGGACGCATGACACAGTCGTTTGGACCTCACCTGGAACCTGGAACGTGGGTTAATCTTCAAGCCAATGCTTTCTTTCCTGAAGGACTCCAGAGATTATCTGTGGCTATTTCAGGGAAGAGAGAGGCAAATGGAACTGGATGGACAATGAGGAAATCACAACACAATAAATGGACGATCCTGGAGGTGTGCCTGTTCAGACGTGGTGAATTCCTGTCCATGGTAATTCCCCTCCAGGCTCAGGGTGGCTTTTCCCGTGTTGCACGTGGTCCATCCAGTGAATGACCTTCAGGTCCTGGGGTTGCCCATCATGTACGGACACTGTGACATCACTGCCAAGGGCCACATGCAGATCCGAGTAGGCACTGGAGAGGAAGGGCATGGTGCCTCTGAGATGAGCTGCTGATGAAGCAGGAAAGCCCAACATGCTCTCCTGCCCCCTGGTTAGAACTAGATCAAGTGGCCACATGGTTACAGACCCTGATGGTGAAAACAAGGCAAAGCCACAAAGGCTGACCAAGTTTCTATGACAATAGATAAATCAACTCCAGTAATGGCAGTTATCTGGGTGATTTATTCATTCTGTAATAATGGACAGAGAAAAACAATACTCTTCATATAAAATGATTTCTCTATATCTGCTCCTTCATATCAGTGTTTTACATCAAGAGTTTTTATAATTAAACTAGAGGCTTGGTGCACAAAATTCGTGCAGGGGGGAGCACAGGTGACCCTCAGCCCAGTCTGCACCCTCTCTGATCTGGGAACCCTTGGAGTACATCCCTCTCACAATCCAGGCAGCTGGCTCTTAACCGCTCGCCTGCCTGATGGCCCTTAACTGCCTCTGTCTGCTGGACTGATCGCCCCTAACTACCCTCCCCTGCTGCCCTGATTGCCCACTAACTGCCCTCCCCTGCCAGCCTGATTGCCCGCTAGCTGAACTCCCCTGCTGGCCTGGTCGCCCCCTAACTGCCTTCCTCTGATGGCCAGGTCACCCCTAACTGCCTTCCCCTGCCGACCTGATCACCCCTAACTTCCTCTGCCTCAGCCACTGTCACCATGGCTTTGTCTGGAAGGAAGTCTGGAAAGAATGACCAGAAGATGTTTGGTCTAATTAGAATATTACCCTTTTATTGATATAGATTTCCAAAACTACAACACAATTTCCGCCACATTGACAACAACAACTTCACATAAACTGATCTGGTCTTGATTATTCTCTACTATGTCCAACACATGGAACTGGTACTACAATAAAGTCTAGAGAATAAACACCACAAAGAAGGCCATGCAGCTGCTACACATCCAGCACCAAACTGCCCTGAAGAAATAGGACCCAGGAGCTCTGTCAATGTCTCTCTAGTTCATGCTTCTGGACCCCAGGGACCCACAGAGATGCACCTATCTCCCCCAACACTTGGTCCACTGGCTCTAGGCTCACACTCTGGTTTTAGTTTATCCTCTGAGCAGTTTGTAAGGGAAACAGTGTCACATGGGACTTCTGGTCTCCTGAAGATGAACCTCCTGTAACAAATGAGGACTTTAAGTGCTGAAGGAAAATTGAGTAGCCATCAAGGTTGAATTCTAAACTAACTAAAAATATATTTCAAAACTGAATGAAGCTATGCTGGTGTGGCACAGTGGTTGAGCTTTGACCTATGATTCCATTCCTGGTCAGGGCACACACCTGGGTTGTGCATTTGATTTCCAGTAGTGATGATACAGGAGGCAGCGGATCAATGATTCTCTTTCATCATTGACGTTTCTACCTGTCCCTTCCTCTCCCTTCCTCTCTGAAAACTATAAAATATATATTAAAACAAATGAATGACAAGGTTATGGGTTTGATTCCCAGTCTTGGCAGATATGGGAGGAAAATAATAAATTAGTTCCCCGCCATCAATGTTTCTCTCTTTCTCCCCATCTTTCTCTGTTCAATATTTCTATCTCACATCAATGTCTCTCTCTCTTTCTCCTTTACATTTCTCTAAAAGTCTATGAAAATATCAAGTAAGGATAAATAAAACAATTTCTATATCTATATCTATATCATCTATATCTATATCTATTTATATCCATGGGAGCAGAGGCACATTAAATTTATCCATAAGGAGTTAATAATTGTGCCCACATCCTACTTCCTGACCACCTCCTGAAGCACAGCCCCTGGTGTGGAAGGAGAGGTCCCTGGGCACAGTGACCAGGACCCCAAGGAGGGCCTGGTTCTCTGAGGGCACAGTCAGCACCTCCTTCCAGTAGAAGCCCCAGGAGACCTGGAAGTCCCCTCACCTCTTGCCCTTTGTATGTGCAGACACCTCCCATATGCAAATGCCCACACGGCCACCAGACACACACACAGTTGGCATCCACTTAAATGCAGGGCCTCCTCACCCTGGAGAATACTTTCTTGGGGACCAGGACCTCACCTGCAAGACATGACTCCCATGTGGCTCTTCCTCTTCCTGCTGTCAGCTCCCACATGTGAGTGACTCAGGGCTTAGAGGTGAGAAGATGGGGACCCTGCATCTGAGCCCAGGACTCACTGTGTTCTCTCTGTCCCAGGTGTCCTGTCCCAGGTGCAGCTGCAGGAGTCAGGCCCAGGACTGGTGAAGCCCTCGCAGACCCTCTCCCTCACCTGCAATGTGTCTGGGGGCTCAGTCACCAGCAGTGACTACTGGAACTGGATCTGCCAGCCCCCGGGGAAAGGGTTGCAGTGGATGGGGTGGTGGTCAGGGAGCACAAGGTACAACCCTGCCTTCCAGGGCCACATCTGCATCACTGCTGACCAGGCTAGGAACAAGTTCTCCCTGCAGCTGAGCTCTGTGACCACCGAGGACACGGCCGTGTATTACTGTGCAAGAGACACAGTGAGGGGAAGTCAGTGTGAGCCCAGATACAAACCTCCCTGAGGAGACAGCAGGGCTGGGCTGTAGGGGTGCCCCAGACACAAGGGGGCACTCAGGAACCACAGCACAGAGAGCAGCCCCAGGAGCAGGGGCAGAGGGAGGTGGGGAGAGAAGGGCCTTCCTGTTGGGCACAGGGATTTCCTCACAAGCTCTCAGCTGTCTCCAGGGACTCTTCCTTGTCATATTCTCCCTGCAGACAACAGTGAAGAAGAGACATTGTGTTTGCAGGTGACATGTCAGCAGGGAGTGGGGACTCTCCTTTACCAAGTCTCCTTCACAAATTCTAAAAGTGGCTTTTTTTTTCACTCTCTTTTCAATGTTTCGCTGAGGAATATGAACTCTACAGCTGGGTTACTGGGATTGGCCTGTGTGCACAGCTCTGCATCCCTCCCTCGGGGGGTGGGGGGTTATAGCTCCTTAAGAGTCTGACTTTCCGTGTGCCCTCCCCATCCTGGTTCCAGGGAGATCACAGGGCCCTCCCTCTGCTGAAAGGCCTGTGCACATCCAGGGCTGGTGGACCTCACCCATCCTCTCTGGGTCCACATTGGCCCCCAGAAGAGCTGCCATCTCAGTGAACCAAACACAGGGAGCCCCGACATCAATCCAAACAAGGGGACACCTGTTGTCCATCAGGAAGCAGTGCTAACCCCACAGCAGGGACAGAAGTCCTTGATGGCTGGGATGTGCATCATTGAACTCCTCCTCCACCTTTCCCCCTGGAGCCAATGTTTCCTAGCTTCACTCTGGGTGAGATGTGCATCCGGAGCATGTAGAGAGCTGAGGAGCATCGATGGGACGCCCTGAGTCCATACCGTCCTCTTACTACTTGCCCAGGAAACACAGAATCTCACACACACACACACACACACACACACACACACACACACACAGCGTCACACAGACACACATAGTCACACACACACAGAGACACAGTCACACACACAGTCACACACACAGTCACACACACAGTCACACACACAGTCACAGACACACACAGTCTCACACTCATTTCTGGAAAAGACATGCATTCACACATGAGCAGTGATACAGTACCATTCATGTCATTACACAATGTACTTTAGGAATTCTATATAATAAAACAGGGTTATTTTTTGTTTTCTTGGATTTCATATGAAATAAATATGTGGTCTGCAAGCAACTATTATTTCAACACTGACCACACCCTGTGAAGATCAACAGTTGTATTTCTCAGTTCACTTAGTAGGAGCTCAAATTAGGAATTTAATCCAAACTTTGCTAAATTGATACAAATTTTTAAAATATAGTTGAAGTAATAGTGAAAACCTTCCACCAAATAAAAGCCAAGGACCAAATGAAATCAAGGGTGAATTCTACCAGAAATTCAAATGGGAACTGATAACTTTCTATCAACTCTTCTTGAACTCTTCCAAGAACTGAGGAAAGAGACAACACTTCCAAACAGATTTATTGAGGTGACCATTACACTCATATCAAAGTCAAGTAGAAACATACAAAAATGACAGGTCAATATCCCTGATGAAATTATATTCAAAACCCTCAGAAATATACTAGGAAACTTAACAGCACCCTGCAAGAATCATTTACCATGATCAAGTGGGATACCATCCTAGCATGCAAGGCTGGTTCAACATACAAAAACCAGTAACTGTGCTACATCTCCTCCACAGAATGAAGGATAAAGTATACCGTCTTATAAATAGATACAGAATGAAGCCTTTAAAATTGAGAATCGCTTCAGATTTAAAATTCTTAGCAGATTAGGTGTAGAAGTGATGGACCTCAATATACTAAAGGCCACATTTGAAAAGCCAAGTGACATCATGCTTCACAAAGAAAATTTCAAAGCTTTTCTTCTCAAATCAGGAACAAGACAAGGGCTCCCCTGTGACTAATTCTATTCATCAAAACAAGAAGTTCTTCTCAGA